ATAATGCAGAAAACTTGTAACTCAAGTGGATGATTTTGATGTAGTTGTGTCGCCTGAGCTAAATGATCTATTTGCGAAGCTTTTATTGCCCTACTAGGCAACATCTTCAGTGCATACTTCAAACTGAAATACTACATCAAAAAGCTTTCGAAATGTAGTCTATCGATATTACTGACTGAATGTTATCTAAGTATTATGCACCCACCTAGGTTCTGGTTACAAGGCGAACTCGTCAACTGTTAGGCCACAGGGACCAGTTCTAATGTCTAGTCCACGAATTTCACCTTCTGCCAATTCACGATATAACACGTCACTAGCCAATGTCATCAGCGGCGAGTATTTGTACTCACACCTGACCTTCTGTACCCTAGTGGTCACGACTTCCCATTAGAACCCAAGGTAACTACTTACCTGAATAGGACTAATCGCTAGTGAGCATCTCACTGATATTCAAGTATTGGTTTGCACGGATTTGATTGATTGATTCTCTAACCGATGTCATCTTATGATGAAATTCTGTGCCCAATCGATCAAACCCCTACAGAGCAATACTTGAATTGTCAGTTAGCTTTGAATATGCATGATCAGTGAGTACTTGAGGTTAAAGGTATATAAATATTGTTAGTTGTCTTGACAATCATTCAAGTGTGAGAGTAATCAGTGGTGTGTGAGACGATATGAATACTACAGAAAAATAAACCAACATATGGGAGTGGACTAGACATAAGTTCAAGGGTGAAAATAACCACAATTATAATGATTGTGAAATCATAACGATAATGTGGTGTAAAATTAAAAGTACTACACGTGAACTACTAACAAATATCAAATAATAATGAATTTAGTGAAGTGAAATGAACAGGATTGTGTAAATATGATAACAAGTTAGAAAAGCATTACTTAAACCTAAGGTAATAGAAATCATAAGAAAGTTCATTAGGTCGTAAAAGGTCAAAAGTGAACGTTTGTCAGTGAAACAAGGGAAAAGAAGAAGAAAAGAAAAAGTTGTGGTAGGAATTTAAAGTGCTAGTGTTTATGGAGGATTTGTTGGCCTTATTGTAGACCAAGGTATACAAACAGTCAGTCTTGTGGTATTGATTGCTGACTATTGTTCCATCCCATCTTACTTATACTTTTCCAACAATACACATTTCTGATATGATTCTAATTTGCCTTTACTGGCTGGCTATTGTATGGCATAAATTAATAGATTTAAAGTTTTGGAGGCTGAAGGAGGGATAATGTATTGAAATCTTCATGCATCATATACCGGAAAGACTTCTTAAAGGATTTTACATCAGAAGAAACAAACAGTGTATAGCCTAAATTGTAACACGCGGAAACCCAGCGGGATTAGAACAGCTTAAAAAATAACCTACCACGATATGTTGAAATGCTATAGAATCAGGTCATAAAACTGATTTTCACTATGTGGATAAGAATGACAGATTAAGACAGAATTTAACGCGGATTCAACACCTTTCACACCTTCAGGTGAACTCATATAGTCAGTCCAAACGTAGAAACCTCCTGCTTTTACGTTTTATGCACTTATCATATCCAACAGTCTGTTAATCCACAAACTTAACGATACAGAATTAACGAGTTGATCAGGGATTGATATCATTTGAAGAACCATTGAAAGCCATCATTGGAGTACTGGACAGCTGTTTCATCCTAGTTTGAGAATCATCGCCAGTACGCACCCACAACCAGGGTTCGAACCCAGGACCTTCCGGGGCTGAGTGGTATACGAGCTTGCCTTGTAAATTATATTATTTTGTCCCAATTAGACAAAATAATATAATTTACAAAATACCCTGCGATGACTGAGGTCAGCTACATAGGTCAAACTAGTAGGTCGGGGTTAGTCAGATTGTCGGAACATAAGAATATAGCTAAGGTAAGAATGGTTGACCCCGAGAAGATGAGTAATTTAGAAAAAAGCTCAGCAGTTGCACTTCACGCATTATCAAACAACCACATAATAGGGTGGGATTGGGTTAAAATTCTAAAAAGCAATCTAGGTAGGTGGAGAGAGGTTGATTACGGAATCCCGGTTCGTTGAGTGAATCTACACCTAACACATGCAACAGAAATGACTCAATGCAAATACCAGAAATATGGAAGATATTGTTACCACCAGTCAGTCAAATCAGAGGAGGATAATAAATAATCTTAGAATTCTATTTCAATTCACATACATCATAACATTCTAACAGGTTACTTATTTTGACTTTAAAAACACTCGTCTTATTTCCCATCTGACTGTATCTGACTGATAACACTCATATTATTATCTCTGAATGTACATTATCTCATACTGAATTTTATTCCAATATCTAATCGATTCCACACATGTATTTAAATGAAGGAAAAAGTTATGTGAGTGACTTGATATGATTATGAGCAATAGTTTGTGCTCGAAACATCATCAGTAATTTATCAAAATAAAATCTTATCCATAATGAAAACTATTAGCAGCATTAAATAATCGAAGGTCAGTAAAAACAGTATCGATTTATCATGGAGTAAATTTATTCGATAAAGGCGCACAGTGATACAGTGTTATTTATTCGTTGGTGATGTATTTAGCATAATTTCATGCTCATAATCATATAAAGGTGCTCAAACAACCTTCAAATTTAGTTTAAGATAATTGCATTATTTCTTATCTCTTGATTTTATCGGTATTAATATTTTCCATGCCTCTGGTTTTGGTGGTATTGAGTCATTCCTACTGAATGTGTTAGGTGTATGTCAGGTGAACAAAGATTTAGTGGTCACACCCAGTCTTCAACAACTCTATACCACCCTATTGTATGACTGTGTGTTAATATATGAACTGCAATTGATGAGTTTCTGTCCAAATTACTTACCTTCGTGGAGTGAGTCATTCTACACTTAGATAAATTAATATGTTCCGATAATCTGACTATCCCTGATATACTGGTCTGACCTATGTAGTTGACTTTATAGCCATTCCGGTTTTTGATGTAGTTGTGTTCTCTAAGCTAGTTGGATGGTTTATTTGGGAAGGTTTCATTGGTGTACTAGGCAACATCTTAAGCGCATACTTCAATTTATTGAAGTGAGCTTTTAGCTTTCTCCACGAGTTTATTAGTCATCTCTCTCCAGGTGGCCTTATACGTGATTGGCTGAATTTGTGTGTTTTCACACCCTCTAGGTTATTTGTATTGGTACTGATTTTTCCCTTGATTGTTTTCCTCAAACTTCAGATACCAGTTTTATAAGGAAAGTGTAGAAATTTCAGACAATGAGTGAAAATACTTATAACTGCTAGAGAAATTTGGCAAGCCTGATACTTAGATGAATCAGCGATTAACAGACACATTACTATTAATGATAAAATTTACCAACTATTAAAGCATATTTTCAAGAGTATGTTTGTAGGGATTTGATTTGTTTGACCAAGTTTGATCATGAATAGATATCAGTGGGATCCATCGGGTCAGGAATTGAGGACAAATATTCACCGATAATATGATGAACATTGATCTGCATCTGGACTTCGCCGATGTTATATGTCTGATTTCCCAGAAACTGGAAGATATGCAGGCGAAAAGCAACAAGTTGGCAGAAGAAGCATCAAAGATAGGACTTCAGGTGAACATAGAGAAAACAGAGGTGATGAAGATTCCTGGGCAACACCACCACCACCAACAACAACAAAAGACAACAATCAGCATAAATGGGAGGAAGCCGAAAGAAACAAACTCCTTCACCAACCGACCTGGGAAGCATCGTTCCAACTACAGGCGGCGGAGCTGACGAGGATATCAAAGCAAGAGTCGGATAATTAAGACAAGCTTTCACTACTCTCAAGTCTGTGTGAAGGTCAACAGCACTCAGCATCAAAACGAAGATAAGATCCGGATTTTCAACTCCAATGTGAAGTCAGTGCTACTATACGGATCAGAGACTTGGCCAGCGCGTCATAAAGAGCATCTCAAACAAACTACAGACCTTCATTAGCAGTTGTCTTCGCTCAATACTCAAGATCAGATGGCCAGAAAAGATCAGCAACAGGGATCTCTGGCAATGGGCGAACCAACCCAGCAGGAACCGATTGTGAAACAAATAGGCAGGAAGAAATGGAGGTGGATTGGCTGGCCATACTCTGAGGAAACCATCAAGTGACATCACTAGACAAGCCATTGCTCGAGTGGAACCCGAAAGGGAAGCGGCGAGTTGGTCGTCAGTGCGAGGGTGGGTGACTTGGAGGAGGTCATGTGAAGAGGAGATGAAAACTTGTGTGCAGACTTGGAGCCAGGTGAAGGTTCTAGCAAAGAACCGAAAGCAATGGAGACGCACGGCTGAAGCCCTATGTTCCCCTAGGAATTAAAGGAAATAATAATAATTCTCCAATGAATTTGGCTCTGTGGTCGCACCAGAATCACGAATTGATAGAATTTAGAATTCATGGCCACTTAGTCGGGTCCCAGTGGCTCGATGGTCTATGAAATTCCCACATAACTGGAAGATCCTGGATTCGAACCCTGGAGGTAAATGCGCAATACTAAAAGCTGAGTCCCAAACTAGGAGGAAACAGCTGTCTAGTACTCCAGTGCTGGTTTTCAATATTTCTCCAACTGATTTCAATCCATAATAAATAATAAGTCACATAACAAAAATATTTAAATTCTAAGTCAATAAAAAACGATCAATAAAGATGTAAATTAACAACCAATCATGATAAAGTTTGTCAGAAGATACAATTATATCATTCACATAGAGAGAATCCAATCAGATCAGTTGACTTCATATATTAAAGCCTGCGCTGAATAATATTGTCCAGAAGGATAACGAAAGCCTGGCAAGCTCACAGAACACAACCAAACAGAAAAACAGAAATAATAATAATGAAAGTCGTGTAACGAGTGACCTACACCTTAAGAAATTACTGAACATAATGAATATTAAAAAAAAAGAAAAAGCTAAAATGCATAAACCATATTTACTGAAAATTAAAAACTTACATGCTTGACGAGTATGTCTATATCGATAGGCGCTTTGATGTTGACCATCTCCAGGCATGGTGTTTATTACTCAAAAAGTATTAATGGTTATATGTAGATATATCTTCAGTAATATTTTTTATGTAATATAATGTAATGTATATGAAAGTTTACGAAATATTTATAAATTTGTGTTTGTCTACTTTTTTTGTTCTAGATAATTTTATTTTAAAAAAAACTTGTTCAATTCCGTTTTGTATGAAAATGTTTCCACCCTCGGATGGATACCAAAGCCTTACAGTCTCGCTTTCCTCTTTTTCCAAATACGAAAAACAGCACTGATTAGTCGATCGATGAGACGACAGGAAAGACGAACGAAACAGAGAAATTATTACAATCACAAGAACAGAGTTTCTTCAGAAGTTTAACTTCATCGAAATTACAACATAAATTCGAAATGAAATCTGTGATACTTTCTCCCCTATCAATATTATCAACATTACATCAAAAGGACACAATAATTATGGCATATTTATATGCCTCATATGCACATAGGCGAGCCTGCACACACACACGCACAAACAGATTTCCACTTTTCACGAGAGTATGTAATATTCAAACTATCTCTGATTGGGAATAATCCCTACTGTAATGTTGTGTAATTCTTATTGGCGGATGATTGGTTATAACCAGGAAAGCAAACAAACTAATCTTTGGATCAATAAGTGGTGATGGGTTTAAAGTGATTTTCTTTTTCTTTTTTGAGGGGGGATTTGATGGTGAAGACTAACCTTCAAGCAAATTGTCCTTGTTAGTGAAGTACGCCCACACACATGCACGCACACGCGCACGCATGCACACAGACGCAAACCCACACACACACACACAGATAGGATGCACAATTTGCTTAGGGATAAATGATGAACATAAGTGAGAATCAATAAGTAACACGACAATATATGTACAAACACCGAGATCTACTTTAGACAAAAATTCTCTTTTTTTTCTTTTGGCCATAAAATATAAACAGTGATTAACTGTGTGTATTAATTATTTAGAATATTGTTAATTAACATTGGTAATTCACATGGGAATATGTTATTGATTTGTTACACTGTTACAATTTTTTTTAACGGTATTCCTCACTTTTTCAACCTTTCAGTGTTATGGAGTTTCATTAAAGCATGTAAGCAGGAGTAATTGTAGGATCCCTACTTCTTTTTTCTGGGATTTGTCAACTAGTCTACTGCAGAATCTCTGACAGCTGATTTAGGCGGTGGTTGGTTCCAGTTTCAGTAAGTGTCCCTTGTAGGGACACTTACCTCATTCTAATTTGTTAAGCATACCAGTTACTTCTCAGTCAGATTGCTTCAAAATGAATATCTTTTTAATTTGAAATTAGTCAGTAGTCCTTGTTGAATGGTCCTAAGTTAAATCTCTGTGAATGTCATATTCAGATCCTCTGACCTTTCATGGTCTTCCCATATCATGTTAATTTCTAGATCTAGCCTTCCATGTAAAGCAGTCTGATATCCTGCGCCGAAAGCTGATAACGGAATGGACAATACTTAAATTTTAATAGTTTTTGTCCAAATAGCTATAAACGAGCACTAGTCAAGACTGTGTACTATAGAGCGAGGAGAATATACTCTGAAGAGAAATCAGAGGAGGAATTTACGATTCTCGAGAAAGTGTTGAAAAACAACGGTTATCCTAAAAGATTCATGAATAAATATGCAAGATGTGAAGGCTCAAAGATCAAACAAATCACAGTTGAAAAAAGCCTGTCCTCATTCAACTAGATTTTAAAGGTGAAAACATTGCAGCAATGGTCAACAGAAGACTGAGCACTTCACTAGCTAGAGCCTATCCTGCAGCTAAGTTGATTCCCATCTTTCGAACAACATGCTCTTTGGTGCAGTCAAAAGTCGACAGATACCCTTCTCATGTTAACTCGAACTGTGTATACAAATTTACGTGTATCTGCGGGAGCAGTTACATTAGGAGAATAGAAAGAACCGCATACCTCCGATTTTCTGAACATGTGCCGAAAGGCATACGTCTCAAGGGAACAAACTCTTATAATAGCGCTATTATCAGACATCTCCTCGATACGGGTCATGAGGTAGAAATCGAGAAATCCTTTGAAACTATCAATAGACAAAGGAGCTCCATTCTCCTCAAGTTTACCGAAGCAATTCCTATCATACTCTTGAAACCAGATTTGTGTTCAGAAAGAAGCAGTTATTAGTCTTTCCTTGCCCTGGTAACTGGATGTCTTTATTCTTTCTTTCATTTGATTACGTAATCTTTGGCTTTAACCTCACCCCTTTGACATAGTGTAATTTTGCTTGTCTCTTGTTTCTATGATTTGAGTTGAACTCAGTATATTGTCACCTAATTTATTAGTCACTCAGAATCTTACGCATCTCTCGTCTTTATTACGTAACTCCTTTACCATTGTATGCATACACTAATTTTTGTTTAAACTTCAACTGCCCGTGTAAAATCTATATAAGCGCAATTTTCTGAGCACTGATCACTAATTGCGGAACTTTCTGTCAACTGATATCAGGAAAAAAATTTGCAAGTATGTTAAGACTTTTCTGTATATAAACCTCATAATTTATTTAGGCTGTAAGCAGCAGCTGATGAGAAGCCAATGATGGTACCATCTTGTTTTCGGCACAAACCATTGTTGTTCTTGCTTTACTCAAATTCATCAAGAGGAATAAATGCTTGCTGATATCATTCAGTAGTCTCTGCTTCTACACTTTGTTAAATCTTCTGTCCAACCTATTCTTCTTTATTGCTCCCCATTAAATCTTCCCTGATCTATTTAAGAAAGATTTTATTACATTGCGAAGTACACTGAAAGCTGTCAATACGCCGTCGTGGAGTATCGTTAAACCAACTTGTTAATAGTGTTGTAGATCGACAGTTGATCTTATGCGAAAAAACTAACCAGTATCATCTTGTCGGACTCTGAGCATCCTCTCTATACACAATTCTTCCCTTGTATCTCATCAGGACGAACTAGGAATTCTGGCAAAGAACCAGCCAGGAAACTATTGCCCAACAAATATGGAGAAGAAAGTGTGGACAGATTGGTCAAACTTTGTAGGGACCATTGAACAACATCATGAAACAGGCAGTGTCTCGACTGGAATACAAAAGACGAGTTAGGCTTGATCTGAGGGTGATATGGAAGAGGTCGTTAAAGGAGGAGATGAAAGTTTATGGATAATCATAGAGCCAACTTAGCAGGGGTGCAGAGAGGATGTTCTGTTGAAGACCTATGCACCACTCGGAACCCCAAGGATATGATAATAATAATAATTATATATTTTTATATTGTTCCCATGGGTTCCTAGTGGAACATAAAGCCTCAACTACACGTCTCCACTTGCTTCTGTCTTCTACTGTACTTTCCACTTGCATCCATGTTAGTCCATGCTGTTTCAGTTCCTCTTCACACGATCTCCTCCATGTCACCCTTGGACGTCCCACTCGCCGCTTCCCTTTCGCGTTCCACTCGAGCTATGGCCTGACGCGCGATGTCACCCAACGGCCTCCTCAGCGAGTGACCAATCCACCTCCACTTTCTCCTGCATATTTGTTGAGCGATTGGTTCTTGTTTTGTTTCCTCCCATAGTTTCTTGTTGGTGATTCTTTCTGGCCATCTGATCTTCAGAATAGAGCGAAGGCAGTTGTTGATACAGTTCTGCAACAGGCTGTTGGAAATATTCTTTGTGACCCGCCAAGTTTCTGATCCGTATAGAAGAACTGACTTGACGTTTGTATTGAAAATCCCAATTTTGTTGTCGATGCTGAGTGACGAAGATTTCCAGATTGGTTTCAGGTTGATGAATGTGTTTCTCGCCTTCCCGATTCTCGATTTGACATCCTCATCCGTTCCTCCTGTGGTTGAGACAATGCTCCCTAGATAAGTGAATGAAGTAACCTCTTTCAAATCCCTCCCGTTGATTGTGATTGCCGCTGGATGTTGCTGCTGTTGCTGTTGTTGTTGGTTGGTTATTTTCATAACCTCCGTCTTGTCTATGTTCACCTGGAGTCCTGTCTTCTTCAGCTGCTTCTTCGACCAGTTTGTCGGTTTTCGCTTGTAAGTCTTCGATTTTGCGTGACATCAAACATACGTCATCCACGAAATCAATGTCTTCTAGGTTCTTCACGTCGGTCCAGGATATCCCTGTCTTCTCGTTTCTCACTGTCTGACGCATAATCCAGTCCACCACAATTAGGAGTATCGTTGGTGATAATAAGCACCCTTGTCTGACTCCTGTGTTTACTCCAAACGCCTCGCTGAGTTTTCCGTTGTGGATCACTTGACATGTGCCGTTGTCGTACAGCTGTTGAATAAGGTTGATGAATATTTGGGGTACGCCGGAGTACTTGAGTAGTTTCCAAATTACTTCGCGGTCAGTGCTGTCGAAGGCCTTCTCAAAGTCTATTAAGTTGTGGTAGAGGTTTGATTGCCATTCCATGCTTTGTTCTGTGATGATGATGCGTAGAGTTGCAATTTGGTCAGAACATGATTTGCCTTTCCTGAATCCAGCTTGTTCTGGTTGGAGTTCTGTATCCAGTGCGTCCTTTATTCTCTCCAGGATGATGCGACTTAGGATTTTACTTGGCGTCAGTTCTTGCAGAGTCCCAGGTCGCCCTTCTTTGGTAGTTTCACTAGGTAACCTTTCCCCCACTTAGTAGGCACCTTTCCCTCCTTCCAGACCTTTTGCAATAATGGAGTCAGCATATCTGCTGTCGTCTCTGGGTCCGCTTTCAGTGCTTCCGGGGGTATTTCATCTGGTCCAGCTGCTTTTCCGGCTTTCAGAAGCTTCATTGCATTCAAGACTTCAGTTTTCGTTGGAGGATTGGTGTCAACTTGCAGTTGTGTACGTGCTGTTGTTAGTATCCTTAAAATCACTAGATCGATATTCTAATGTCATAAAAATGAAACTTCTTATTTTATTCTACTTCACTGCATAAATTATTCTTGTACACCTGTTTCTGTACATAAATCATGTGTTTTAACTTTGAATAGTTTGTTAGTTTAAACTGTAATCATAGTAGGCACTGTTTTATTACACAGTCTGCGTAGTTTTGCCATAAAATCTCTCTCGGACAATTAAAATCGGTTAAAGGCAGGTATTGCAATAAATCAGTGCAATTTGATGTATGTATTCCTTAAACTTTCTAAGTGATACTTAAGATTTATTCACTTTTAATGAATCCCTTCTGATTTCGACAGCATATTCAAACATTTAACAGTTAAACCTTCACAGAGTAGCATTAAGTGTAGGGTTTTAGTGATCACTTAATGGTATTTCCATAAAGTGTATATTATTATAATCGATGCAAAACATACTACTGAATGATGTGAGTAGTTGGAAAAACACCTCAAGTCGATCAGCAGTGATTGACAACCGAATTGTGGTGATCTCTAAACATAAGAAGGCTGTTTTTGTTGTTTGTTACCAAGGTAATC